TGTTTCTATTATATAATTTAAATTATATAATGTGTTAAATTTTTAATTAATAACAATTACAGTATAGCTCATTTCTATGAATTAGGCAGTATAAACTCTTTTATTCTTGAAGAGCAATTTTCTAAATGAACATGTGTACACAAATATTCCATCGGATTGTAATTCTGTATGTGTTTGGTACCATATCTCCACATCACCGTTTGGAAAATGGAAGCAAAAAGGTGAGCTGATCAAGGTCACAAAGCTACGTGTAAAGAGAATCTCAGCAGGAGACTGGGTTTCATGACTAAAGCACAGGCACATTGCATCCTTTTCTCTGGTTAGGATAACTTAAAAACAAATCATACTGACAAAGCACAATAAAGTGAAAAGTGCTAAATATTGTAAATGGCATTTTATAAGGCACTTTTAGAGAATACAAACATATTAAACTCAAAACCATTCTACTTCATTTAAATGTCATTTATATATCAAGCATTATATATTTAAGAATCTATTTGATATTATGGACATCATCTTCAAAATCAGAGAATAAGAAAGTTATAGATGCCCTTAGTTATCAAGCAATAAATTCTGGTAGAAAAAATTACACAGACAATAATATGTCACAAGCAACCAAATTAAAGTCCCCAATCATTTTAGCTTGTTTTGTTGATTAAAAAAAAATATATCTGTATACACCATCAATCCATTTAGGTTTGTCACCTAAAATCCAGACAAATTTCTTCCATAACTTTCCATAAAACCTGCACTTCAGTATTTTATTCCACCCCTATTATTTAATCACTAGTTTCAACAATTCCCTTTCCAGCCCACTCATTCTAATTTAAACACTCAAGGTCATTGTTTCAAGGTTATTGAACAAAGAATCTTGCTTTATTATCTATGTTATGAAAATTACTTCCATGTGATATATAAATTCACACATTGATCATACAACAAAGGAGAAAACTTAGAGGTGGGAATCAATTTAGAATCCTTCTAAATTACAGCAGCAGGAACTGATAAAACACAGTCTCTAGACTTTTCCAAAAATAGTGCATCAGTTTTCTTACTGGATACAATTCTAAAGCATGCACTACCAAATACCAAATAAACACAGGAAAACAACAGTGTATGCCTCTCTCCACATCCCTCAGTCTAGCACAGTCAACTGAGGCCCTCTAGCGCTTCATAATATGTACTTCATCTTCAGGGCTTGCAAAATAAAGTTGCCTAGGTCACTTATATTAAATGCCATTCATTTTCCTTAATGCTTCCCTAATACTCTCTCCCCTCATCCTCTTGTAAAAAACAAAATGCATAACCTGAAGCCTATAAGATTAAAAGGGTTATTTTAGTGGTGGCACACATCTGTAATCCCAGGCTGAAGCAGGACTGCAATGAGTTCAGACTAGCCTGAACTATACAGTGAGTACAGGGCCAGCCTGGACTATATTGGGAGACCTTGTCTCAGAAAACAAAGGACATTTTAATGCAAATAAATTAATTTTTAAATAATTATTTTAACATGTAGAATAATGAGCACATGTAAATAAAACTACAGATAAAACAGCAACAAGCCATAAGCTAATTTTAGAGGGAAAATCTCTAAGCTGTTATTCAGTGAACTCTCCTCAAAGCAGAGATTTACTATTCAGGATATTAAGTTATGGGGTTTATTTAGAAGTTACGTTATTACATTTATAAACTTATCACAACCTTTAAAGAGTCTCTGAAACATTCAATCTACACAACAAAGCTCTGGGATGTTCTTGCCAATAAGTAACTTCAAACAGAACTTCCTAGTTTATAATTTAGACTATCTTAAAGGACCCTCATAAGCCAACAGATTGATTATAAATCTAATGATAAACTATGCTAATTTATTTCAACAAGTAAAAAAACTGATCTAAACACAGTCACTTGTAGTTTCTTTGTGGAAATGGCGATGAGCACCAATGGGAACACTCCAAAATCCCATTACAGACAAAGCCTGCTTATTCAGACTCAATCCACAGAGAATTCTAATCATATAAACTAGATAGAAAAATACTAAATGTGTCTATCAAACTGTGGTTTTATTTGAACTTGCAAGCAAAATGTGTCTTTTTTAAAGCATAATAAAAACTAGACAAAAATAAAAGAGGGTAACAAAATTCTAAAGTCCAAAAATATACATAAAGAACCTCAAGAATTTAACTTTGGCAGAAGAATATCCAAAAAAACTAAAATTCAAGAAACTCTACAAAGCACTGACAGTGTTTACAAGTGCTGATTACTACTCAGGATATACAGCAGTGTGAACATGTCAATTACTTGCAATTCACAAAACAGGCCATCAACTTTTCAAGGTCTACTATTGGCATTTCTTTTTCACAAGAATGCACTTGACATTATGTTGTTGAAATAGGATTCACTGCAATGTCAGGGATTCCTGCAGGACTTGATACATAGTACCTTCCACCCAAAAGGTTCCTAACATGGTGTATGATACTCTTTCCTCCTTCTACTTTAAAAAAATTACTTTCTTGAACTTCATTTCTTAAATTCCAATTTTACCTTTGAACAGAAAAACAAAACAAAAGGCTTTATAACAAAAAATAGTAAAGAATTAATGATAGCATTCTTCATCATTTCAAATATTATAATGGATTCCACATATGTAGAACATAACTGGGTATTTTTCCACCTCTTATACAACTCAAAGACAGGATCTGGTATTTCTACAACCAAATTCACATCAAATGTCTTTCATATTTTCAAAACTTTGGTAATAAAGCTGGGATGAATTAAATTTTCACTTAGTCTACAAATAGTCTTCCTGTCAACACTCAATATTGGATATGGTCATCTTTTTTATTTCTTTTTATTTATTATTTTTATTTTATGTGTATGCATGTATTGCCTGCACGTAGGTGAGTGCTCCCATGTTGTGTAATGCCCTTGGAGGACAGAAGAGGCTATCGGATTTCCTGTAACTGGAGTTGCGGACAGTTGTTAGCTGCCATGTGGATGCTGGGGTTCGAACCCAGTCTTCTGCAAGAA